CCATACAAAGGGCTTTCATCACATGTAATTTTCATTTTCCTATGTGCGTGCGCAGTACTGATTTTTTTGGGGTGCGAATGACGGGGGACCTCAAAAAGTACGCCAAGTCGGACTTTGAAGGCCTGTATCTCGCGATAGAATCGTTTCCCCAGAAAAACCGATATACCGTTGGAAAGCTCACATCGAGGGCTTTAATTACGCGTGTTTTTTTATTTTCCTACTTGATGTCCCAATACCGACTTTTTTAGGTTAACCGTATTTTTGCACCTTGAAAAAATAGAAAAATTGCCGATTTCTGGGTAAATTTGGCAACAATGGATAAAAACTATATACGAAATGATAGCTCTTTTTATGTTCTATCAACTAAAACAAACCGCACATTCGTATCTTTAATTGCTCAAAAGTTATGGGGTTCAACATGTTTCAACTTTAAAAAATGGCAACGTCGCACTCGGGGGGCTGGGCATTAAACCAACCCCGGATTTGGAGGCCGGAAGTGCCCCTCTATCACTGGTATGAATTTCGTTAACTTTTGAAATGGGCGATTTTGGGGGGTCCGTGCATAGGGTTCTTTACATACCTTACACGATCACAAAATGTACAACTTTTAAAAAACATACAACTTAATAACTTCGTGAAACCCTGGGCGATAGTGTCAGATTCATAATAGTTACGATGAATTGTGATTAAATTGTTTGTTGTAAAAAATTCAGTGTACATTTTGTGATTGTGTCAGGTATGTAAATTCTTCTCTGATGATGACCACAAAGTGAAAAAGGCTTTAGGCAATACGGAAATTCAATATTACATAGCTTTGGTGTAATTAATTCGATCAAGAAGACTCTTGTTCGATTCACGTCGACTAGAAATTGTTGACACAGAAAGGGAAGGTATAGAAAGCCCAAGGTGGCACACAACGCACGAAATCATGTCTACTAAAAGTCCTGATATTTTAAAAGGAAATTTCCTGAGAATAAATTCGCAATGGCTTGAGTTTACAATACCACATGTCGACGGTGAAACTCCAAAACCACGTTTCTCGTTTGTAGTGTTTTAAGTCCTATTTTACTTTTTGGAATACTCAAAATCATTCCTTGACATTTCTTCAGAATTGGCTCTGCACGGAGAGGAAAAATCACGGAAGTTTTCAAGAATTGACGTTGAGTAGTTTTCTGTTTAAAAAATAAGGCACGATTGGAAGTCTGCAACGTTGCAAACCGAGTTACGTGGTTAGGGGGTCTCAGCATCGAAATTTAAATGTTTTTGGTCAGATGTCTCACTTTCGCATGTGCTAAACTGCATCAGGGTGTCCATTAAAATAGACTGGCAAAAATTAGGTGGACTTTTCCAGTACATTTTAAAAAAATTCAGTACTTTTTTAGTGCATTTAAATTGATTTTTGATGACAGTTTTTATTGTTTAGTTATATTTCTTACAGCTTGATTATTTTCAATTCTTCTATAAAAATTATCCATTTCCTAAATACAATCCAAGCTTGAGCACACCTAAACTATGCGGTCTAAACTGCAATAGCGGCTAAGGAAAACCCACAAGGCCAGCATGGAGACTGATTTAATAATATTAATCTTCCATCGCATTGGTAAGGCGCAACGATACAACTATTCGCACTCTCCGGAATGCGTGAGGTATCACGCCGCAATTGAAGGCGTTTTCGAAACTGCCAACTTCCATATTGGGATTCTTGTGTCGCAGATGGAATGACTGATCTCTAGCTAATGCAACAGATATGCGCACATCTCCATGCTTTTATTTTTTGTTCATAGCTTTCGTTCCAGTTGATAATGAGCGAGTGATTTGCTCGGATGTGTTTCCGTTTTACTTAAGCTTTTAATACACATTTTCTTACTGTGCTTTATTGAGTTTTATCGTTGGTTTGTCCTATTATTTAGTTATTTTTCCCCCGCTTGTTTATTTCTAATTCTTCTAAAAAAGTAGTCCGTTTGCTGAATACAATCCTAGCTTGAGCATACTGAAACTACGCGGTCAAAACTGCAAAAGCAGCAAAGGAAAACCGACAAAATTAATCTTTATTCCTAAGGCGCAATCATACGACTATTCGAACTCTCCAGAATGCGTGAGGTATCACGCCGCAATTGAAGGAGTTTTCGAAACTGCTAACTCTATATCGGAATCCTTGTGTCGCATACAATTCGGAGCAAGAGATGACAAATGATATGAATGGGCTATTCCTCCGTGCTATGGATGAACGCTGTGAGAACAGTCGAGAGTTTCCAAATTTCCTTCAAATTAATGTATATTTTTGGGGAAAGTTATGAGTATTTTTCCTTGAAATTGTCAGGAACTTCAGGTGAAGTTGCGAACAAAATGATCTGAAAAATTAGAAGGAAAATATTCATAAGTTCACCAAGAAATTCGTGTTTGATTAAAGGAAATTCGGTAACGCCTGAAGGTTCGTTCGGCGTTTTTCCTTTGCACGGCGGAATGGCCCATTCGCATCATTTGTTATTTCATGCTCTGAATTTTATGCGACACGAGGATACCGACCCGATATAGAGTTGGCAGTTTCGAAAACGCCTTCAATTAAGGCGTGATACTTCACGCATTCCAGAGAGTACGAATAGTTGTATCATTGCGCCTTAGTAATGAAGATTGAAATTATATCAGCCTCCACGCTGGCCGCATCCATCCACGCTTGGCATATCCAATTGTGAACTTATGTACATTTTAAAACAATTTCTGACTTTTAAACTAAAATAAAATTTATTTATAATACCAGTAACTGCTAATCTATCTAGCTGGTAAAATGGACAGCTAGACAAGGTACGAATTAAAGGATTCTGATACATGTTCCTGAAACAAAATTTCACGCAGAACACGATTCGCGCAACGAAAATGACGGAAACTATTTCCTAACGAAGATATAAACGATTTTATTTCACATTGGTTACGAGGAATTTGAACTGCCCGCTCACAAGAAACTCAAAGCTCTAAGTGAGTCAAATCGCGCACTACAACGGTTTCAGCAATCTTCTCAATCGAGCAATGTTCATTACCCACCATAGGTTGTTCAAAATATAAGCAATTTTCTATAGCTGAGCCAAAGCGTCAAGATTGAGGTTGCCAGATTTTTATATCGTAGAGACTGTCATGATGACGTTTAGCGCGCGATGTGAATCACGTAGAGCATTGAGTTTTCATGAGCGGGTGGTTTGAATTCACGCATCAAGAATTATTGAATATCTTCGTAAGGAGTTGATTTCGGTAATTTTCGTTGTGCACATCGTGTTCTACGTGAAATTTTGGATAGGAAGCACGTATTAGAATGCTGAAATTCGTACCTTGTCTGAAGGTCCATTACCATCCTTTTGCCTAAAGCCTTGTCCACACGAGCGCCGTTCGCGGAACTTGTTCCCGGAACAAGTTTTAGCTGAGCTGAAAACTCATTCCTCCTGAAGTCCTAAACCCGGAACTTCCCCCGTACTCCGAGCTTCTACATACGTTTCTTTCAATTTGAATTTGTTTGTTTTTGTTTTTCACGTCCTTTACATGTCTTGACATTTATTTTTGTTACTTTGGCGGCCGTAATAATCTATTATTTTGCAATAATTGTATAGTTTTATTTGAGTTCCGGTTCCAGTTCGGGCGAACTCGCGTGGACAGCACTGAGAAAAAGCTATGGCTTATAAACCTATTAGAGGTAAATATGGAACACCACTAATAGTAGTACCTCTACATATAATAATAGCACATATACCTTAGTTATGGTACGGGGTACCTTAATTAGGTACAGAGACCTTAGTATGGTTCACAGACCGAGAATCATTAGTTTATTTACGACTATTATAGGTGTTCCATATTTACCTCTAATAGGTTTATAAACCATAGTTTTTTCTCAGTGAGTATCACTCCTTTCATAGAGCAAGTTCCGGGAACTGAGCAGTTCGTCGAATAAGATCCTCGAACCACGCTCGTGTGGACAGGGCCTAATGAAATAGGGTTGGAGGAGTTTGGGGTACCTGCTGGCGTCGTACTCGACGAGTCGGTCGATGGTGGGGTCGAGGAGGAGCTCGGCGGCGACGGGGCGCTGGGCGAGGGAGACGACGTCCTCCTCCTGCTTCTTGAGCCGCTTCTCGACGCTGTCCAGGTTGGCGATGATCTTGTTCGTCTTCTGCCGGAGGTCGGCGTGGATGTCGCTGATGGCCCGCTCCTGCCGCTGCGTCTGGGTCAGGAGCTCGTCCGACTTGGGCACGAGGTCGTCCACCGAGGACTTGGTCCCGACCACCACGTCCCACACCTCGTCCATCTTCTCCGAGACCGACAGGATCGGCGACATCTGGTTCATCAGCTTGTCCAGCTTGTTCCCTTTCAGGACCGGCTGCGGGGCCTGGATAATACATCACAAATTATCAGTTTTCCCGACAAATCTCTCCCAAACAAGACCAATCCACACAGGTCAGTCATTCCCGAGGACGAGTTTTAGAACTCTACTGCGCAGTGACGCAGTATTGAGTGCCTGCAATGTATTTCTTATGGGAGCACCGATTGTGACATGGCATTGAGTGCTGCGAGTTTCGGCCGGGCGGGGGAGTGGATTTCAAAAAAGCTGCGCAATGACTGACCTGTGTGGATTGGTGTTGCTCCCAAATTCCCCATATTAGCATTTTCTCTTTCCTGCGGGCCGATTATTGAAATTGACGGTGCATAACGTTTGCGCACAATTTTTTTACCGATAACGTTTGCGCACACTGCACTATTTGGCAACGCTGCAATGATGCTACGCGTGTCACCCGAAAACCGGAGTTTGTTTGGATCCGGGCGGTCGTAGTATCACTTCATGATAAGACATTTTTTTACTATCATCATCCGAATGTCCACGAAGCCTCTCAACAATTTTTTAACGCTCAGAATATAGTGTCTTTGAAAATTAAATCTGTACGAAATGATGAGGTGTTCACTAAACGGAATGATCAACAAAAAAAAGATGATGAAATTATTGTTTTAACCAATTCGTATCTCGATAAGGACCTGAAAATTACGGAGTTTCTGGAAATGGTTCGTGAAGTTAAATACCCCGACAAAAAAGATTCAGACGAAGAAAATAACCCGGAGGCTGTAAATGACTCTTTCAATGCAGACGAGCCTGATGAATCCATTTCTGAAAATGGTGCTGATGAAATTTGCTCTTCAAATGCAACCTGCTCTAAAAACAGCCCTAAAACCCGTCCTTGCACTGATGATGATTCCGGTGAAGACAGTGACAGCATTTTTAGCTGAAGTAACAGCGAAAAATCTGTGAATAACCATATACCTTATTTTCTTAACTTTCTTCATTTTCTATTTTCTTCTTATTAACTTATTTATTAATTTACTTATTGATTGCTTATTGGAATTTATTTAAATGAAAATTTCCCCTCGTCCGTTGATAAATTATCCGTCCGTTGAATTGTCTTATCACGAAGCGATACTACTGACGCATCATTGAAGCGTTGCCAAATAGTGCAGTGTGCGCAAACGTTATCGGTAAAAAGTGTGCGCAAATGATATTCGTGAAAAGCGTGCGCAAACGTTATCAGTAAGAAAAGTGTGCGCAAACGTTATCAGTAAGAAAAGTGTGCGCAAACGTTATGCAGCCGAAATTGATAGACAACAGAGAAAGAAGACAAAAGGGATATGGAGGGATCTTATTGGTGGAAGTAGATGGTTGCAATGGACAGAGGAGGTAGGTAATAGACTAACTTTCGGCAACCCACGAGGGACCTTATGGTTAGTTCATCATTTTCTCCCCTCGTCAACAGGAACTATCCAATTCAACCATCGCTCCATACTCTCCGCGTCTTCTTTGTCTATCGCTTTGTCTATCAATTTCAACAATCAGCCCACTGGACAATAACTCATTACCTGGTTCATTAGCTTGTCCAACTAGTTCCCTTTCAGAACCGGCTACGGAGCCTGCGTAACAAATCGAAAATAGTCAGCTTTTCCGACATTTCCCCCGCAAATTTTTCAATTTTTAGGGTCAAATTTTGACACTTCACACAATTTTGTGAATTTAAAACGAAAAGCTAACCGCAATGGCCGAAGTTTGGGCAACTTGTTTGGCTCATGACGTCACCCGGAGCTCATCATCCACCATGCAGGTAGGTCAACATCTGGAATTAGGGCGATGGCTGTTGCTCCCTTATAACTGTCCATTTAGAATTGTTGAACCCCCGAAAGTAAAAGCTTCCACCTGTGGCCAAGAGGCTAGTGCAGGGTCTCTTGAAGCAGGGTGTCTACTAAAACAGGCTGGCCAAAAATCAGTACTTTTCCGGTACTTTTTCAGTACATTCCCAAGAAATTCAGTACCTCTTCAACAGAAAAATTCAGTACTTTTTCAGTACCTCCAATTGACGAAAGTCAAACATTTGAATTTACCGCTCAAATTGCGACGAAAATGGCGAAAAAATTAGAAAATTCTGGACATACTTGCGGAATTTCCGCACTTTAATAGTACTTCCGGACCGCCCTTAAAAAATCAGCACTATTTCCGGACTTGTAGACACCCTGTCTTGTCTCTAAATACAACTTAAGAGGGAAGAATATCGACGGTGAAAGTCGGCAATCACATAACTTAAATTTGCGACGTCGCAGACTTCCTGTCATACTTTATTCTTAAAACGGAAAACTACTCAACGGTAATTCCTTAAAACTGCCGTGATTTTTCTTCTGTGTGCGAGGAAAATTCTGCAAAAACTGCAAGGAATCATGTCCATTTGTTCTCCTTTAAAAAAATAACATAGTTGCGGAGATTTTCAGACACCGCAAACGAGTTATGTGATTGCCGACTTGCACCGTCGATATATCGCAATCATTATTGAGATAATATCTCAATATATTGCCACCAATATGATCGCGAACCAACCGATGGAATCGCTATTGATCGCGATCACTGCCACTTGGGACTTGGGTACAGCGACAGATACAATTTAGGAGGAAAGAATAAGTGCCCTCTTACTGGAACGTACCTGAGTGGTAGTGGTGGTACCGTTCTTGTGCCTGTGCGGCAGCGACGCGGGTTGCTCGACGACGGCCTCGTGGACATCCTTGACCATGTTGAGCATCTTCTGGAGGTTCTCGGAGACGAGGTTGATGTGGTACTGGAGCTTGCGGTCGACGTTGGCCGTGTTCCCGCGGATCTGGTCGAGCTCCGAGGTGAGGAGCTTGGGGAGCTCCCACATGTTCATGCTCACCGGCTTCTTCTCCGAGGCCTCGGCGTTGATGTCGTCGGCGGCCACGAAGTTCGAGTCCAGCTGCGTCTTCATCGACGCCAGCTTGTTGTCGATGTTGTTCACCTTCGCCAGCAGCGCGATGAGCTTCATGTCCAGGTTCGTGTTCACCTGGATCTTCTCCGCGTAGTCGTCTTTGCCGTTGTTCACCGTGTTCACTTTGCTGATCGTCCCCGGCATCACCTGAGAACAGATCCGGAGGTGTTTAAGATAATAGATCGTTTTCGATAGTGGTTCGATGTATCGTTTGGTTCCAAACAATAGAACATAACCTCAAACAAAACTTTCAGGATTTCAGTCGGAAAAGCTGAAAATGAGAAAATTCCTAACTATTTCACCTTGCGATACCATTTAGTACTCATAAGAATCAAGATCTATCAGAAAAACTCCGTTTCCTCAGATTAGTCGATTGACTTTTAAGTGCTTGCTGAAGATGGGCTAAGCCCGAAATGCATCCAAGCCATTAAACTTTATTTAACAATATGCGCGTTTCGATATACTTTTTCATCTTTTTTATCTTTATCATAACAGCACGCGAGATGCGTTTTTCCAGTTACATAAAACAATCGATACTTGGCGAAACAGCTCAAGATAATCCGCCGTTTTTGGTCACGGATCCGAGCAGTGGCGAATTTTAAAAATTGACAACACTAGGTTTTTCTCCATTTAAATGTTCGTAAAACGATCGATACTTAATGGGACAGCTCAAGGTAATGCGCCGTTTTTCGTCACGGACCCGAGCGGTGGAGATTCTTAAAAGTACACAATACTGTTATTTCTCCATTCAACTGTAAATGTATGTAAAACAGTCAATACTTAATGGAACAGCTCAAAATAGTGCGCCGTTTTTTGTCGCAGATCCGAGCAGTGGCAATTCTTGAAAGTTGACGACGTTGCTTGCCTCACTTAAAATCGAAGATTCGATGTATTTAAATGGAGGGAAAAGTGTATTGCCAAATTTCACGAGTAACAACTGGATCCGAGCCTACCTCAGAGAAAACATTTCTCTAATTTTTCGATGTTTTCCAGACAACACTGAAAGATCCTCATAACTTCTTCCGTGGAAAAATCTCAAACCGGCGGTGAAACTGCCAGACCACGTTTCTCAATTTGCTATCGTAGACTTCCTGTAATACTTAATTTCATAAATTGAAAAGTATTCAACGTCAATATTTTAAAACTACCATGATTTTTCTTTTCTGTATCTCAGTGCGAAGAAAATTCTGTGAAAAATTCGAGAAATAATGTTGATTGAGTTCCCTTTAAATATATATAGAGTCGCTTTATAACGCACTCTGGCGTTCTACGACACCCAAACGCCACATATGCCTGTCTTCCCAGAGGTTATCGGGCAACTGACACCGCAACATCTCTTCGTCAACGCCCTGCCGCCAACCCTTTACGGGACGTCCCCGTCGCCTCTTCCCAGGTGGTACCCAATCCAAAACTTGTTTGGGCAACCTCTCCTCCGACATTCTTTGCACATGTCCATACCAGCATAACTGCCTGGACATGACGTCGTGCACGATATCTTTCTCAACCTTCATCACCTGGCGAATTCTCTCATTACGGACACGGTCCCGTCTCGAAATGCCGGCAGATCGCCGCCAAAAATCCATTTCAGTTGCCCTCAACATTTCTTGCGTTCTTTTCGTCAAAGGCCACACTTCACTACCATAGAGCACGATACTTTTAACGATGGCGTCATATATCCGGTGCTTGTTTGCCTTTGAGATGCTCTGATCCCAGAGCACCCCGTTCAGCATCGCGATGGCTCTCCTGCCCTGGATGATCCTGTCCTTAATTGCTCTGTCCATCCTTCCATCCTGATCGAGCCAAACACCGAGATACTTATACTCGTCACACTCTTCGATGCGCCGTCCATCCTCAAGCTCTATGCTTTGCCGTTGATGCGCTGCTCCCATGACCAGCTTCTCTGTCTTGGACACACTAACGTCCATGCCCCATTTCCGATATTCTTCGACCAACTTCCGCGTCATGTAATCTGCATCTTCCTCATCTTGAGCTACAACGATCTGGTCATCGGCAAAGCATAGAGTATAAAGGGCCTGCCCATCAACGAGTGGAACGCCCATTCCCGCAACCTTATTTTTCCATTCCTTTAAAACGTGCTCTAGGTATACCTTAAATAGTGTTGGTGACAAACAGCAGCCTTGTTTTAGCCCTTTTGTGACAAAAAAACCTCCGGACAACTCTCCACGACATTTAATTCTTGCTATCGTCCCGTTATAAAATGATTTAATTGCCCCCACAAGTCCTTTGCTAAAACCCCTTTAAATAAATGATATAAGAGCGTAGATTGTATAACATCACAAACGAGATACGTAGTTTGGGAGTTTTTTCGTCGATATCAAAAGCATGTAACTCCATTGTAGTGGCGGGGCGTGAATGATCGATTTTCGATATTTCCCCAGTTGAAGCTATGGTAAAGAATCGATCATTAAGGTGTTCATTGATAACACCCTGTATCGATCCTTTTTCATAGGTTTAAATGGCAGATCAATCGCAAATCAAAGCACGCCACGCCACTGCCATTGGGTTCCGGTTTGCTTTGATACGGCCTCCGATTTTGTTATCACGGGTGAAAATTTACTCACAATAGCTTCTGCTGCTTGTTTTCATTTAATTTTCGATGGACTATTTTATTCGAATATTTTTGTCTACACTCTGCACTAATCGTTCCATCAATTCGTCGCCCTCCTGACACAAAGGCGTAACTACACTTCGCGATGAGCCCTGTCGTCCATAAAACTCACTGATTTCCCGGGCTCATCTCAATGTGTAGTTACGCCCTTATGTCAGCCAAGCGACGAATTTTACCTAGCCGTTTTTCAAACTTATTATCTCTCCTCTGTTTCTTTCAAATCTAATGCTGTATCATCGTTTCTAATCTCGACAAACCTGGTGCGGACGCCGCATGTTAGCGCCTACAAGGCTGCAGGGATACTTCATGCATCGCGCCAAATATCAGCGCCTGCTACAGTGCAGGAATACTTCATGCATTACGCCTTAACACAATGCGGTCGCTACTCGGCGCGACGCGCGAGTGAATTTCGTACAAAACCTGAAGCAAAAGTTAGGTTAGGACGAAGATAGTAGCTGTTCATGCCGGTAATACTGATTCGCATTGAAAACGAAAGGGTAAGTGATTGTAACTGATGAAAATGTGCTTAATTAAGTAGTTAATTCAGTGTTGGATGCCAACATGACTTTCTGTGCCGCAGTCAACTGTGGTAACTCCCGGGAAAAAAGTTGTCAACCCCCCCCCCCCCCCCATCAGGTGGGGCTTCTAAATCCCAGAAGCCCTGTTCTCTGGGTAAGGAGCGAGTGGCTCCTTAGCCACGTAGTGAAATAGCTATAGGTAAAATCTTTTTGAACCGTCATCAAAACAGCTCTGTATTGCTTACACTTTTGTGTACAATTTTTCAGAAAAATTTACCGGAAAATGTATCTTTGCAAAACCCGAGTCGAGACTTGCGAAAGGTTAAATTCTTTAGATGTGAAGAAAAACACAGTGGCAAAGCCGCTAGCCGTAGCTGTAAATGGCAAGTAAGAAGTAGAAATTCATCATTTGTTGATCGAAGTGTCATGAAACTGTCGTGAAGTGTATACTTGAGCTCTATTTTCCTCAAATTTTCAGAGATCAATGTAACTTACATTGATATAGAACTACTTGCGAGCCGAAGTGTTAGCAAAGCAGAAATTCATATTGCACGAGGGCTGTCGTTGCAAAACCCATTTAATCGACGATGCTTTTGATAACATTTTTTTGCGTGATTTCTTAGAAAGATATGATGAAAAATTTTCATTTTTAGTGGGTCTAAAATAGACGCTTTACTGGACATGGCACTAAGCTATAAAGCAGCTGAGTCGAAGTGTTAGCAAAGCAGAAATTCATAATGCACGAGGACTGTCGTTGTTGCAAAACCCATTTAATTGCCGATGCTTTTGATGACGTTTTTTGCGTGATTTCTTGGAAAGATATGATGAAAAATTTTCATTTTTAGTGGGTCTGAAATAGACGCTTTACTGGACATGGCACTAAGCTACAAAGCAGCTGAGCCGAAGTGTTGGAAAAGCAGAAATTCATAATACACGAGGGCTGTCGTCGTTGCAAAACCCATTTAATTGCCGATGCTTTTGATGCCGTTTTTTTGCGTGATTTCTTGGAAAGATGTGATGAAAAAGTTTCATTTTCAGTGGGTCTGAAATAGACGCTTTACTGGACATGGCACTAAGCTATAAAGCAGCTGACGTTTCAGCACGAGTTTCGAAAGATTTTTTTTTAATTTATCGGAAAAGAATATGAATGTTTGGACAGGTTTGACTAAGGAGGAATTTCAACGCCTCACAGTCTCTGGTACCCGAGGAGATAAAAACATTCAGAGGGTTGGTGTGTATTTAATGTACCAGTGCGGAGGTTTAACGCAGAGGCAGACGGCTGCAATTTTAAACGTCCATCAAGCGACAATATCTCGCTACACATGCCGAGGTAGAGAAATCTTAACGGAAAGGTTTGTACCTCAGAACCTAGGACCGTGCATCACGCGAGAGGAAATTCGGCCTGAAACGAGAGATATTTCCAAGGTTCTGAATCAGGTTGCTGCCGAAGAAGATAAGCTTGTAACAGGACGGGACGTTGCTTATCCACACTTGGCAAAGAGTACCACTTCCGGTTCCAAAGGAAAATTTTTTAATAAATTAAACTGGATAACAATACAAAAATATATAAAAGAAATAATTTTAATCAAATCTCTCCAATACCGAAACCCTCAACATTCCAGCTCCCTACCCCCCCCCCTCCAGCCGAAGATATACCTTCTGGTAATTCCGGCGTGTCTCGGGAAGTCATCTCCTAATTAATTACTTTACTTGCACACTTATTCTACTTCATTTATTAATTAACTATTTGTAATTTTCCAATCTGCTATTTACTATAGTTATTACCATGTTGTTAAATACTTTCTGTTATCAATTGTGTTTAAATAAATTACTTATCTTGACAAAAAAAAAAAAAATTACAGCGGACAGAAGAAGAGGAACTACGCGAAGCCGATGGTAGTCGTCTCTACGAACGGGTTAAAAATTGATGTTTTCGGACCTGAGGAGCTATGGGCCGATAGTGTCTCAGACGCCGATATGATAATGTAGTATTAATTACATAAAAGAACGGCAGGATCACTTAGAAGAGATTCTATAAGTTAATGTCGACCGCAATGGTATCAACTTAGTAATCTTAGTAAGTAATCTTAGAACAAGACTTACCAAATCAGAAAGCAATGTAAATTTCTCTGCTATACAGCTCTTTAATGCCCTACCGCTTTCACTAAAACTATCATTTAAAAACGACCATCCAAATGTATACCTTAAACTTCTTAAAAAATCCTGCCTAGAAAAAGCGTTCTACCACCTAAATGAGTTTCTAGGTGATAGCTAAAACTATCATTTAAAAACGACCATCCAAATGTATACCTTAAACTTCTTAAAAAATCCTGCCTAGAAAAAGCGTTCTACCACCTAAATGAGTTTCTAGGTGATAGCTAAATACAGAGATGTCTGAGTGAAGATTGTTTCTGAGGAATTTCTGTATAGAACTGTTAAATACTCAACAATTGAAAACTAACCTATTATTGTTGTAAATTTTATTGTACATGTGTTTAAATTAAGTGTTTTGAGGACAAGACCTGACACGTACCATAAGCAGTTTCAACAGCTTTTGTATGTACTTAATTGAAAAAATAAAATAAAAATAAGCTTGTGAAAATATTGCTTTCGTATCATGAAATCATTGCAATGATTCCCGATTAGGTAAAAAAAAGAAAAATGGCTGTTTGGATTCAAAGCATGAGAATCAGAACTTTCTGTCTTGTCTCTTTACTTCTGAATTTTCCCAGTTTCTATATTCAATACTTGGTGGTTGCTCATCACCTGTGACACCTTTAACCGTAACCGTATGGTTGCGTAGACGATTTGTTTATTAGCAGAGTGAGCTGCCGTAAGATAGGTTTTATTTATACCACGACGGATCGGACTATGATTTGTATTCATTCATTGTATTCGATGAGGGTCATGAATTAATTTCTCCTTTCCTCCTCAAATTCTAGTCTCTCAATGACTTGTCTTGAAAGTCTTATTTTGCTCTTGAAACTGCGCTGGTTGGATACGCTGATCCATAGTTTAGATCTTCTTAAGCCTTTCTTGGGTACCTTTGAATTCAAAATAAAACATGAAAGAGAATTTATGAAGACCGGACACTTTGTTTATACAGCAAACTAACGACGTAATAGATATCAATGCTGATATTAAGCATTTTTCATGGTTTGGGCTTCGACTTAAGTTGGACAAGTAGGTAGAATTGCCACCTGAACATCAGCTTCATAACACTCTGATGAGTAATCGACAGACGAAGTTTAAGGGAATTCCAGGGGGGGGGGGATGAAAAAATCCGTTTTGGCATCAAGCTCTTTCAATATCTTTTACTCTTACCGGAGACAAAAGAACAAATTTTTCACCTGGAAGAGCTTCACATCGAGCGTTCGCAGTTTGGCGATGATGGAATCGGTCTTGTCGAGGTTGTCGGCGACTCTCGAATCGAGGGCCTCCACTCGCCGCATGAGATGTTCGACTGCTTTGTCGAGGTTCTCTATCCTCTGCAGCTTGCTCTCCAGCGTCGAGACGATCACTTCGAATACGTTGAATAAGTACTGCTCCCTGAAACACAAACGACACGCACGGGTTAAGATCGGGGGTTCGTGAACACACGGCATCATACGACTTGCGTCCCGCGGTCAAAAAAGGAACGACTTGCGTCCCGTGGTGGATTGATTTGATTGTGATTCATATCATATGGCAACGTCGCTACCGCAGCTCCACAACAAATGCTTCAACACCTGGTCATGGATTTTCGGTTAGTCTTAGTAAAAATTTAGTCCAAAAATTACATAAAAATAAAAAGTATCAATACAAATCGAAGAAAAGGGAGAAAGCAAACTGAAAAAGAGGAAGATTTAAATGCTCTTATGCAAAGTTATTTAGGGAGCGAGGAGTATTCCCGACTAGAATCTGTGCGTGAAACGTCTTTTAAATTTTTACCCTCGTTCATCAATTTCAATTGTTGACGTGCTCGTAAAACACAAGCGAAATTTTTAATTCAAGACGTGCAGCGTGCACTTCCAATGAGTATGAAGAAATTTCGACGCCCGTTTCCTCATCTTATCTCAGGTAATTTTATTGTATATTTTCCAATTTGAAATGATAGTATTTTGACTCAGGTAAGCGGTGTTGCCAATCATGGTGGCAGTTCAAATTCGGATTTGAGCGCGGGCAAAACTCGTGTTTCCATTCTCACAGCGGGACGCTAGTCGTATGATGCCGAACACACACATGCACACTGAAAAGGCCGTGAGCGAATCTCGTATTTCGCCCGCAAAATCGAGCGTATGCAACCCGACCCACCGCGGAGTTAAAATAGTTGCATGTTGGGTCCGAACCCAACTTCGTACCTTCTTTCATTCTGTTTGTTTGTTTTGTTCTTCGTTCACTCTTTCAAAGGACGATCACTTCGGATACGTTGAATAAGTACTGCTCCCTGAAACACAGACAGTACGCACGCGTTTAAGATCGGGGGCTCAAGAACGGACATGCACACTGAAATGACCGTGGGCAAATCTCATATTTCGCCCGCAAAATCGAGGGTATGCAACCCGGCCCACCACGGAGTTAAAATAGTTGCATGTTGGGTCCGAACCCAACTTCGTACGCTCCTCCATTGTTTCGCGCTTCGCGAAATATTCAAATGCCGAGTTTATCACTCAAGGCATCTCATGCAGTTGGGTTAGGTGTAGTTAATTAAATACGTTGTTTTATTTCTATTCTATATATATAAATACATTTGAGTGATGACTCAAGGTGAGGTGCAGCACTGCGTTGAAAAAGTACTGCTGCCTGAAACTCGAACGAAACGTATGCGTTCATGGAGGGATCGAGAGCAATAAATTATGCGCGCTGAAATAGCCATGGGCATATCTCAGATTTTGCCTGTTCGGTATGTATCCGGTATGATTACGCTTTGTACAAAATACAATTCCTTTTGTACTTTTTAAAAAAAGGTCTTTTGCACGTGAGGAAAAATATTTTATCCTTATCAAACTATCAAATCCACTCACGAAGGGATTCAACTTTATCGTGCGAGCGCTCCTCTGTCGTGCTAAGGAAAAACGTAATATGAACCTTTGGGCGTCGCCAAATGTCTTTAATAAAACACGAATTCCTTGGTAAATTTATCAATATTTTTCTTCCAATTATTTAGATGATTTTGTTCGCAATTTTACCGAAAGATCCTGAAAATTGAAATGAAAAATATTCGTAACTTTCCTCCAGAATAAACTTTATGTTAGAGAAAATTTGACGACTATCGAATGTTCCTACTGCGTTTTTCCTCGGCACGACAGTGCGGTGCAATGACAATGACCCAGGCAACGCTCGCAAGGATTGTTACTGCTTTCCCAATGACGTTTGCCCTACTAATTAATACCGAACAGTCACGGTCGGCGCCCTGTCAAGAAACTCAACAAGCTCTGTTACGGCTTGACGTTTCAATTGTTTGATTCGTCTTGGCTTACACGGAATCCACGCTCACCTGAGAAACCGCAGTCGTAATCAAGGACCCAAAAATTGGCCGGAGATATGAACGAATAGAACAGTATCATCTACTCTCAGTATTGCAAAGTGCGGTGAACACAGGTGTTTTGGGGAACGCAGGGAATGTTATACTATTCTTTACACGGGCGATTCCAACTTGGCCTCGGAGCAAGTAGGGACATTACATAACATTGGTGAATGGTAATAAGTTGGACCCATAAAAATATACATAAATCTACACTTAAAATAACAGACAAACGAATTATGCAGTGTTGCACGACCAAAAACTTGAATGCAGGAGTAATGTATTATTAGAATTTTTATGAACAAAAGAAGGAGAGGATAGGTATTATAAGTATAGCAATTAAAAACTCGGATCGATTATAAAGCATTGCAATAAAAGTTGACGATTCCCGGCTTAATTCCTCCTCCGATATCTTTTTTTCAATTTCTTTATCAAACATTTTTATTTCAGGATTGCTACAGAATTCGGAGGATGAAATTCCCCGATTTTCCAGATACATTTGAGTAAAATTCCCTGGCAACTGAAGATATGCCAGACGGTTAAAAAGACGTAATTTGAAATAGTTTTCAGGCAATATTTGCAGTTGCTCAAACATCAAACCCTTCTTGAAAGGCAAATTAAGGTGAATTAACTTTTTTCTCTGATACTTTCGTCATTTCCCCTGAGATTTCCAGGTTTCTCCTGACTGTACAAAATTCCCTGGCATTTCCCGGTTTTCCGGTATTCATTGCTATGGCAACCCTGTAAAGTTGAAATAACGATATTTTCCTCACATTTTCATCATTTTCCCTGACATTTCCCAGTATTCCCTGCACTGGAAAAAAACACATTGGATCCAGAGTCCAGACTCTTGAAAACATCGACAAGAAAAAATACTCTTGATTCAATCGGATTTAAGCTTCAATCAAGACCCAAGCCTCTTAATTTGAGCGGATTTCCTTTTGATTTAAGCTTAAATCTGATAGAATCAAGAGTATTTTTCCTTGTCAATGTTTTCAAGAGTCTGGACTCTAGATCCAATGTGTTTTTTTTTTTCCAGTGAACCCTGTAAAGTTGAAATAACAATATTCCTCTGACATTTGGATTGCATTTTGCAAAAAGGAACCGCAAGAGCATTCCAATGTTGCTAGGATTGTGCAACTTATATTCCTCACAATAAAATTACCAAAACCTTGCAAAAAATTAAATTAAATGTAGTAATTTTCGTGTTGAATTTATAGTTTATTGGGAGTAAAGATAAAACTTGTATAGATGATCAGTTTATATTTGCAAGGTAAAAAAAGTTGCACGATCTTAGCGACGTTGGAATGCTTGTGGTTCCTTTTTGCAAAATGCAATCCATTTCTCAGTATTCCCTGACTGTGGTAACCGTGTTGTTTCTGTTTCGGGTTCATCTTGTTTCGTACAATTTTTCCGATCGCACCTCTCTGCCTTCTGGTGAGAAGCGCGAATGGACCCCAGGATCAAGAGTGGCGGGAAACTGGCATTTCTGATAGCGGGGGCGTTGGCGGCGTGGGGCGCATGCGCAGGACGGAGCGACGAGAAACTGATGCGATGCGCGGAGATAACGAAGAAGCCCGCGGCGAGATTCCACTTGGTCCAACCGTGCAGTTTTTCCCGGATGGTCATCGTCGGGCTCACCAGGGCACCCTCCTTGGAGAGGTGCGCCATCTTCGCTCACCGGAAGCAGGGCTTGGCCATCAATTACAATCAAGTCGGTAAGTCGTAAATCAGACAACACGGAGAAAAACACTTCGTAACTAGGAATCTTCGCGCGCCCCCACTTCAGATCTGAATAAATGGGAGAAAATCAAGGTATCGCTAAGCACGGGAAAAAAACATTGGATCTGAAGTCCAGACTCTTAAAAACATCCAAAAGAAATAGTACTCTTGATTCAATCAGAATCTAGCTTAAATCAAGAGGCTTGGCTCTTGATTTAAGCGGATTTCGTTTTAATTCAAGCGAAAATCCGATTGAATCAAGAGTATTTTTTCTTGTCAATGTTTTGAAGAGTCGGGACTCTAGATCCGATGTGTTTTTTTTCCAGTGTATGAGAATGGAAGAAAAGTGAAGAGGAAATTCAAGTCCCAGAAAAGTATGAAAAAATGTGAAACTTACATGAAATGTAATTCTTCACGCCCGTGGGAGTGTTAAGTACTTGTTCTCCTTGCTTTCCTCTTTCATCATCTTTTCTGCCTCTATCTCTCTCCCTCTCTTCCTTCTTTCTTTATCTTTTTCTCCTTCTTCTCCCAAAATTTTGTGCCCCTCACATCGCTGCCCCCCCCCCCGCCCGGCGGTGGCGGCAGGTATGGTAGTTACGCCACTGGGACCCAAATTTGAGGTCATATGGATCTCTGAAGTTATCGGATCACGTATCTAAAACTTGCGGTCCAGCTGCCGAAGTTCGGGTCAGACATCTGAAGTACTTCGATATATGCCGAAAGGTTCGGGTCACACATCTGAAGTACTCCGGAACATACCGAAGTGCCTTGATGTCTGAAACGAACTTCGGCAGCTCAACCTCAAGTTCTCGGATGCGTGATCAGAAAACTTCAGAGATCCATGCGACCTCAACTTGGGGTCCCATGCACGAAGTTTTTTACACCGTGAAAGACCCTGCGAAAGAGGCACCTCGTTATATTGAGAAATTCAATGTCTGTCTGGTTCTAAAATTCCCGGGGTGCTAACACGTTTTGGAAGCCCCTCCCATTGGCGGATCTAACAAATTGGCAACATCGTTTTTCTCCATTTAAACCTATGGAAATGTATGGATTCTTGGAGGGGCTAGGTTAGGGTGTAGCTTATTTTTGAGTTTTGCGAAAATCAAGTTGGTCAACCCCTAAAAAGTTTCTATGTAGTCTCTAAATGAACCCCCTAAAAGGAAAAAAATTTAAAAAAATTTTAACCCGTGCCTCAAAGGGCCTAAAGGGCCTAAACCCAAAATTCAAAAATTTTGGCAAGCGACATATCAATTCTGAAGGAAAATTGCAAGTTACGGCCCTTTGGGCGAAAATTTCGTCCGTTTTGGCGTATCTTGAAGCGTAAGTTCACAAACGGCCCAATGACGACGTGAGGCTCGGGGCGCGCCGCGGCCGCCGGCCGCTGAGCGCGCGCGCGGGGCAGGGTTGCG